CCATTCAAAGGGACCTGGACAGGCTGGAGAGCTGGGCAGAGAGGAACCTCCTGAAGTTCAACAAAGGCAAGTGCAGGGTCCTGCCCCTGGGGACAGGCTGGCTCTGAGGCCACACCTCTGCATCCGGCAGGTGAAGGATGTGGTGAACGCTGGAGACCTGCGCTTGGAGGCCGGGCGGATCGAGTTTGAGAACGTGCACTTCAGCTACGTGGATGGGTACGGGGCAGCGGCATGGGGTGGGCAGGACGGGATGAACCGAGCTATGGGGCCTGGCATGGGGACGCGGGACAGGGCAGGTGGCCCTGAACTCCTCTCCGTCTTGCTTTCCCAGGAAGGAAATCCTGCAGGACGTCTCCTTCTCCGTGATGCCTGGGCAGACCTTGGCCCTGGTGAGAGCAGTGCTGGGGCACTAGCTTCAGTGCTGGAGGAAAGCGGGGCTGGGAAGCAGGCCCGATCCATAGGGGGGCTGTGAAGGACTGGCTTTACGCTGGGCCAGTCCTTCCTTGCATGGCCCCTAGTGCTTGGCACTGGCAGGGTCTCTGGTGTCCCCAAGTCCTTTCTCCTTTGGTGCAGGTGGGACCTTCGGGCTCGGGGAAGAGCACCATCATCCGCCTGCTCTTCCGCTTCTATGATGTGCGGGGTGGCTGCATCCGCATCGATGGGCAGGACATCTCCCAGGTGAGAGATGGGAGGCCTCCTGGGACCGGAGAGGGGGCGGCGGCTCTGGGGCAGCCCTGCGTGGAGACCACTGTCCCCTCGGGGCAGAGGTGAGGCAGGCAGCCCCCGCAGCCCCTTTGATGGCTGACATCTGGTCTGGAGGCCAGTAAGTCCCCATATCTGTCTGTAATTGGACACATATGCCATGGAAAGGGGGCTGGGAGCGGGTCTCCGAAGCCCCCATGGGTAATGGTTAGCTGCTGTGGCTGTGCTGGCAAGGTGCTGCGGTGCGACATGGCTCCTTTGATTCAGGCAGAGGTAGGGCGGCAGGGTGGGCTGGGGCAGTTGGACTCTGGGGGTCGCGCTCAGCCCTCACCCCCTCCCCTCCTCCAGGTGAAGCAGGCGTCGCTGCGTGCCCACATCGGGGTGGTGCCCCAGGACACGGTGCTCTTCAACGACACCATCTCCAACAACATCCGCTACGGACGGGTCACGGCCACCGACCAGGAGGGGCAAGAAGCCACCCCAGCCAGATG